GGGTCGCGCTGCCGCGGGCCGACATCACACGGGCGGGCGCCCTGGTTTTAACATGCCCTCTTGTGCCAGGAGCCCCACGATGGCCCAGAGGCCCTGCCGAGCGCCTGAGCGCTGGAGCAAGAGGCCGGCTAGCGCTTGCGTGCTGAGAAGCAGAGCTCTCTGGGAGAGGGGAAACAAATTTTAGGAGCTAGAGTAGAGAAACATAGCTAGAACGTGACCCAGTTGTTCAGTCTCCAAATCTTCTCTAATGTGATTTACTTCCAAGCCTGTCTCAGTTTTCTGCAAGGTCTCGTTCTTTGGCCACCAGTAGCCCCGTCGCAGGGTAATCATCCTTTCCGCTTTGCCCGTCTTTCACGGCTCCCACTTGATTATAAACACGCACAGCGCCATGATAAAAGGCAGAAGGTCTAACACAGGTGCTTCCCAGACAGGTTTCCCGGGACCCGAAGGGAAGGAAGGAGGGACCTGCCGGTGCCGAGCTGCCCCCGGTCACGCTGCAGCCACTGGAAGGACGCAGCAAGGCTGCAGGCAGGTTTGCCTCACACCAGGGAGGAGATGAAAAAAATGTAAGAAACATGGTGGCAAAAATACTAACTCTGGGATTTTCTATGGAGCCGCTCGGCGCTAAATGCTCACATGAAATTCGGTGGGTGTAGCTTTCCTAAACTTCGGATTGCCTGCTTGAAACCCCCAGCCTAACATATTCTACTCACTAAAACCTCGGTCTCGTGATCTTGTGACTGTTTATTTGGCTGCTCGGATAGGGATCAGAGATCACTCAATGGCCAGGAACAAGTCACAGTGCAGGAGAGCAAGGGCAGATGCATTTCAAATGCTCCTGTTGGAAAAATAATTACTTAACGTACAGCTGGAAAGAGCAGGTTAGAAACAAGCGCTCTTGTTAGGGCAGGGACGAAAGTACGCCTGAAATATGAAAACGTTTATTCCTACTTCAAAGAAACACTTGGTATCCAAACAGCGATGGCACCAGGTTTGATGATTTCTTAAAGAAGCGGGAAAACCATGAACGGATTTCTGACTCTTCTTACACGTGCCGCAGAGCAGAGGCTGCGGGGAGAGCCGCCACGCCTCTCGACGCGCAAAGCAGCTGCCTTCCTCCAAGGGGCAGTTCATAGCGCAGAGCCAGGGATGCATCCGGCCCGGGGACGGGGCACAGAGGACTATTCGTGAGCAACGAGGGAAAAAACAAATCGGCGCGAAGCCCCAAAACCCTTTGGGCGAAGGAGGAGGGCCCGGCGCGCGGGGGCTCGGGCCGCTCTCCGCCAGGGCGGCAGGGACGCGGGG